GTAACACGCTATGAATAAATTGGAATGGATATGATATTGGACATCAATAATTCACTAAGTCATTTACAAGCACAAATTTCTGAGCATTCTTGGAGTAATGCCTTTGCTTTTTGGTATTCTTCTGTTTCGCTAAATTCCTCTTCACACTCCTAGAAATTATAGGATATTATTTTTTAAGCAATCACACATACTTCAGCGCAGCTCTCAAGCTTTTTGATAGCATTTTTCAATCGTACTACGCAATCAGGAATCATCCTCTCATTTTCTTCCAAAACTGCTTTCTATATGAAACTAGTTAGCACGAACAAATAGCATACCGCCATTTTTATTTCATATACATCAGCTTGTGCAGCGACTTTATTTTCTACAATTTTAGTCTGCTTAACAATCTCTTCCTCATACTTGGTCTTATCTTTCATGATGCTTTATAAAATAAACAACTGCTGAATTATAGTTACCGCTTAACCACATTGGTCTTGATCGTTAGGTTTCTTAGTCTGCTGTCCGTCATCACCCAGAACGACTAAATTAAATACCCGCTCTTGTGGCAGCAATCAAAGGTCAAATTTTAAAATTCCTATTTTCAGATAGTGATAAATTTCACTGAAAAGTGAACAACTCAGTTCTCTGTTAATTCTATTTAAAAAATATCTATGGTTGTCTGATCCCTTTTAACGAGTCTACTTCTTCGGTGAGAGAACCAGTACACCAAAACAATATAATTCCTCCTTGGCTTTCAAACTCACCTATTATGTCCTTTGAGATGTCCCGTAGTGCTGGAATGGAAAAGAGAAGATAGATCGAGTCCATGGTCATTTATGTGAATTATGAACACTATGATTAAATTTCCACTCAGCCTGCCGTGCGCGAACTTTTGTTGTGTTATGCCCCCAAAAGTCTACAGATTATCTTTAAATCAGTGTGTTCTTATACCTGTATAGTTATCAAACATTCATTTTCTTAAACGCATTGGTCATATATACAAGGTCCAATTAGAATCTTTTTGTCCCAATTCATTCTGTAAAGTATGCCTATCAAAAGGAACTTTGAGAAAAAGTTATGTGTCAATTCTCAGTTGAAGAAGGAGTGTAGTGTGATAGCCGCAAGAGATGGTTTCATAGTATGTGAACAAACTTAACTCCTGCAGCATGCGAGCGCTGTTGCAGACCTCTGGCGAACTGGCTATGCAATGACTGCTGTGGTACGACTAAGTTTCCTATGACGGAAGCGTTGCACTCTCATTGGACTCCAAAGCTCCTAGACTGCAAGCGTCCTCCACCACAGGAGAAGAGCGACTACTACTCAGACACCGATGACGTGACTAGCGTCGTCGACAAAACAATGCACGTTCCTGATGCGTCACTGTTGGGGAGCGAGTGCCCTTCAGCACAGAAGAGCACCCACCATATTCCAGACACACATGCTGCCCCTAAGATACCGGATAAGCCCTACGGTGACAGTAGTGGAAAGACTGGCACGAAGAAGAGGTGTACCAGGAGTCGGAAACTCGCAGATAGATTCCTCCAGAGACTTGTAGAACAAGCGTCATCCACACCGGGGGATAACAGGCAGACTTGATAGACTACGGTTAGTGAGGAGAACGCCAATGAATGGCGTAATGTAGTCTCTCAAAAGGCGAGATATTAACACCAATATTGCCACAATGTCCACGATGGATGGAAAGACACTTATGTTACACAGCAAGGACGAGACAGCAAGCAAACCTGATCTCTCTGACAGGTCGTTCATTCACCAAAAAGTGGAAGAATCGTCGGCCTCCGATCCCGAGGCCAGGTTAGAGAATGACCTTAACTTGATCAAGCGGCTGCTAAATAAGTTACCGCCAACAACAGTATCAAGCATAGCCATACGCAGCTTGTAGAGAATCGGCCAAAAGCCTGACTCGACAGCAAATCAGCCGGTGCGTCTCCTCAAGGCCGTAATGAACTTCAGAGAAGAAAGGATGCCATCCTAAGCAACTGTCAGACTCCTAAAGGATCATGCATATACGTCTGTGCCGACTTAAGCCTAGCAAACCTTGCTAAAAGAGAGTCTGCGACGCCAGAACTAAGCGAACGACGTCGAAACGGTGAAAAGAACCTTAAGTTTAAGGGTTCTTTTGGTTAGAAAGGTTCATAGTTTGATGATCCCGAATACTGAATAACAGTTTCCTACAAAAATTAACGCAGCCTGTTGAAAAAAGGACTGAGCTGGTTAATATGATAGATTCCAGAAATCCTGATGTAATTATCATCACAGAGACATGCCTCACACAATATCAATCAAAACGAAGTAAATCTGCTAAGCATTGTAGTGCATAGGGTGGACCGACTAAGCCACAAAGGAGGTGGCCTGGTCATCTACCTCAAGAAATGCGTAGCATCGAAGGACTCGCTCACGAAGGTGAACCGTGCGAACTTCTACCTCAGACTTAAATGCACAGGCCAAGATTTTGACCTCACTGCTGAATACCGCAGTCCTGACTGCAGTGCAGATGACTTCCTAGTAGAAAAATTAGGCTCCTGGACATCGAAATGTTGGAATCTAGCATTTCGCTGGCCATAGTCTAACATGTCATGAAGCCTAGGCACTATGACCCTTAGCACTACTCTTCAACTCTCGACTTCGTTTTCTCCCATGGTGAGTATGTGGATCTCATGCAACATCTTCCTCCTTTAGAAAGAAGCGATCACGCTGTGCTCGCTGTCAAGTTCACAGCACAGTATCATGGGTCAAGATCCCAGCTCGAACAAACGTTAATACGATAAATGCGATTATTTCAGCATCAACTCAGTGAACTGGTACATAAACCCAGAATCCCAAGTGGAAGCCTCATGAACCAGTTTAACAACTTAACGCCTGAGTAACGGAACTTTTCCTCCCCTGGTCTGTCCCAAAGGGTCGGAAACATTGTCCCCCTTAGATGAAACGAGAGATTCGTAAGTTACTCAGACATAAACACAAATGATTTAACCTGTTTGCTACACCTGAGACTCCTGAGACCAGGAAATTACACAACACTGCCAGGAACAAAGCTATTGCAGAAATCCCCTTATCAAGGATGAAGTTCAAAGCACATCTGCCTGAAAATGCCACGGCACAAACTAAGAAAGTTTTCTCGTACACGAACTTCAGAAGTAAGACATCCGTTGGTATTCCAAGCCTGACTATTGACAATGATACAATCGAAGAAGATCAAGGAAAAGCAGAAGCAATGACAGGCTACTTCTCCCAAGTCTTTGCACAGAAGTCGTCACTCCCTATAGGATCAGCTCTGGCTGCATCACAGGAATTCGGGATAGATTCCGTTGACATCGACCAAGACATCGTACTGAACTGCCTAATGAAACTAGATGCAGGACAATCAATCGGTCCTGATAACCTCCATCCAAGGCTTCTCAAGGAATTATCAGCTCACGTAGCCAACCCACTGACCATGATCTTCAAGCTATCCCTCCTCAATGGAGTGTTACCGCGTGGCTAGAAAGATGTCATAGTAATTTCATCCACAATGGAGGGTCAAGACTAAGCCCTTCAAACTACAGGCTTATTAGTCTCACCAGCAATTTAATCAAGACACTGGAAAGAATCATCGAAAAAAGTATCATGGCATATCTGGAAAAGAACAATTTTTACCTGTCAAATCTTCTCACTGCAAGAGAAAGTTGGGTCAGATCGAAGGACAACAGAAGACCCGTTGACGCGCAAGGCCTTCAATAAAGTTCCGTACAGAAAACTACTCATGAAGATGGAAAGTCTTGGTATCAAAGGCAGCTTACTAAGCTCGATTAAGCAGTTCCTCATAGATAGGAGGCAGAGAGTTAGGACCAACTTGAAACCCTCCTCCTGGACGGCAGCGCGTAGTGGAATGCCACGTTGCAAGAGGGCCTCAAAAAATTGTCAGAGAGGTGCAGAGAATGGATGCTGTCGATCAACGTAACGAAATGTACAACCATGAGCATCTTACACGCAAGCATGATCTCCTACAAACTGGAGGGTATAAAACTCCCATCAGCTCAGACTCATTTGGATTTAGGTTTTATAGTAAGTCATGATTTAAAAACTGTAGCACACTCTCGCGCGGTGACTGCACGTGAGTCCTTATAAGATAAGGCCTGGCTACAAGTTTGTGGTTGTCTAATTTTGACTTCAGATAATGAAGAATGGTAGGTTTTGTGAACTATGTTAATCTTAGCGATATATCTCTGAAGAGAACCAGTTTCGCTTTGAAAGAACTCATCTATGGAACGGATACAGCTTGACTGGATATGGAGTTCCAGTCATTGACAATTTTATTGGTCCGAGGTTTGGGCATCATTTTGTGGTGGCCTCACGAAGGTACCCTAGATCGAGAGAGGAAAGATTTGGAAGCTCATTCCTCACATGACGTGTCAGTTTACGGTATACCAAAATCAAGTCACCTCTCCCCCTCTTCGGTATGATAACTGTAAGAGGTTGAAGTATTCCATCCCATTATCACAAAACAGCGTGTGAGATACTACAGACTAATTTGGTTTCAACCTTTTACTCTTTTTTCCAAGATATTTATCTCCTTCTTGAAGCATGAACTAGTCGATTGTATACAGTTTTCTGGATGAGGCCTGGAGCATTTTGTGTGGAATACTTTAAACAGAGACTCATATAACCGTTTCAATGTTCTTCAAAGAGCCCATTGCATTCGAAACGCCTCAGCTGTATCTTTATCAAAATATTGTTATGATGTCGTCGAGTGTGAGTACGAATGCTAATTTGCTATGATGAACTCTTGATAATTTTTCGGTCAATCATTCCTTGACTCGAACTAGTAAAATCGAGAAGACTCATACAGTAGGGTTGGAAACGTGTATTTTCTGAGCAAGTGAGATGAATAATGACCAAAATATATGTTGATCCATTTACACGGCTCGAATGATAGGCTGCAAATGCATGTTGGATTATGTTCGGTTGACACCCAACATGCCACAACGTTTGACTTGTTTTTATCTGACTGACAGACTGATGAGATAGACGGCAAAGTTAAACTTTCGACACCAATAACAACCAATCAGCAAACGACCTTGAACGGACCAATCACATGTAAGAGACGTTTATGATAAGCGGAAACGTATATTTATAGAAAAATGCACAAAAAAATGATAAAACGGTTACAATGGGTATGTTTCCCGAACATGGGAGAGAAACATTTCCCAATTCAGCATGGCACTGTCAATAGAGAAGTCACACCACATTCTATACATATGTTCATCTAAATAACTATAAATGAGATCCTTTTGAGGTCCATTTATAGCCCTTACTCTATTTTTCAATCGACCCCAAAATCCTTCAATGGAATTTGTATGAGTCCCTGTAACTGGGTCCACGAAATCACTGGAGTGGTTCACTCTGTGATGAATGTATCCCAGGGATGACAATGAATCATAGCCTTTCCACTCGTCGGTATGTACAATTGATCCCGGTTTCACGAGTCGCTTTATAATAGGTACCAGAGTAGTCGCCTTCCTGTCTGCTATTCTCTCAACAAATCCTTTTCGGAGGGACGTGTCGTATAAACCTATGACCC